GCAGAATTCACAAAGTGTCAGACTTGTCGACATATTATTCCCAGTTTTAATGTCCATACTCTGGATACAAAACTGGGTCAGCTGATGCTGAATAATCAAACTATTTCTTCTTTTTCCTCCTCTCTGCTTTTGTTGGAAAACCACTCAAACATCAGATCCCACTCAGACGATTGCCTAAGACGATTTCGGGTGCTCGACCTTTGTGAAGACTTTGTTTACAGATAGCTTTTTCAACAGGGTCTGAATAAGGAGGTGTCAGAGTGTCAACTCCTGGTGAATCAGGACACATGAAATTACCCATGAAAGAGAAGCTCTTAATTATAAGAATTTCAGCACAACCGATAAAGACCTTTCACTGATATTTACACTAACACTGGTGGTGTGATGTTTCCTATGCGAAACATTTTGGTCTTTCACACACTTTGACTTCCTTTTGGTGCTATTAGGACAAGATGTCAAGGTACATGCATTGACTTGGCCTGGTTGTATACTGTACAGTGTTGGCATGGTGCTTTTATGAAACTCAGCACACACTGATCTGGTATATGCTTCAGTACAAAGGTAGTTTTATCATTTCTCTGGATGATTACTGGCTGACAGCAGATACATTGGTATCTCCACCATTAATGATGATGTTTTTCAAGTCGAAAACAACAACTATCATGCAGATGTCGATCTAGAGTTCAAATGTCTTCCACGGATAACCAAACTCTGCAACTATTCTCAAAAATCACAACATACACACGAAATGAAATGAATGTAAACCGTTTTTAAATCAGTGAACATTGTTGAACATGACAAGGTTACAGCTGTAGGTGTTTGTTTTGATCTACTGTGGGGGACGTTCTCAGTCCACACTGAAAGTCTTTGTATCAACGAGGAACTAACAACTAGCACCAGCATTCAAAAAATCTAAAAAAAAACTTTTATTGGTAGAAAAATGTGTAAATATGTATGTGAACAATATTGTTTTTACTGTACTGTTAATGGTGTTTAGACAATGGATGATCTTGCTTATTTTGAAACTGAATTACTGTACGTTGCTGAAAGTATATCCAGTTTAGACTTGAGAAGAGACTAAATTTAGCATTCCTTATACGGATGGCTGATCTCTTTTTGGGATTGTGAAATAAAGTCATATTTATATTTTGGACCTGATCACGATTTCCTCTTTCCTGATTTGCTGTGTGTGGGTGAAGATCATGTGTTTACACAACCTTTGACAGTCAACTGTGAAATTCAGGGGGTTTTAAGCATTTATTTTCTCACTGCTTGCATCATTTAGTTGCTAAAATATGAAGCTGGCTGACCTGTTTTAAAAACAAGAACATATTTAAAGAGTTAACTTTTAAAAAACCCTTTTCTGTTTCATTTTTTTTTTCTAAATTTCCCACACTAGCACACGGTATGAGTCACTGCTGTGGGGTTTCAGCTTAGTCATTTAGCCTTTGTCCACTTGTTTTTGTACAGCTTGTCCCCAGAGCCGGCAACATGATGTTTCTTTTTCTCTCAAATATCATTAGTGATGTCAGAAAATCATTTGCGGCTGACTCAGTGAGATGACTAATCAAATAACTGTTTCTGCAGGAGTTTAGTCAAATCTAAAGAAAGTCTGAATCATAAATGATACTAACACAGCAAGACCAAAGCATATTGAGACTTAAGTGTTGAGAATGTGACTCAACACACTGAGCTCCACTGTATATAGCACTAAAGGTAGAAAATCAACCTTTTTATCCACAAGGTAAATGGTCAGTAAATGTTCACATTTCACCAGCCACTCAATAGATTAACATTGTTTTTTATTTTGGCTGGTGAGTGAAGCAAATATACTAGACACTTGTATGATGATGCGAATTTAGTACCCTGATAACACTACACTGGCCTTTTTAAATCTTACAACAATTAAAAAATATGAATAAGTGGAAGAAAGGTGGATTTTGTCCAGATTTCTACTGATTAAATTTAAGCTTAACTCACTGTATCATAGTGAATCGACCAGTGGTTTGGTTTTAGAAACAGTTTCACAGTTCTGCCTAGTTGGACTGAAGTTGTTAGTTTGGATGCACCAATCTTAAGTGCTATATCGTAGGCATCTGGACTTGCTGGAGTTTATTGAAAATGTTTCACCCCTCATCCAAGAGGCTACTTAAGTTCTGAGGCTTCAGAAGAGAGATAAAACATCTTCAAGAAACTCACACTTACAGGCCCAGTTGCCTACAATAGAGCACTTAAGATTACCACAACCTGGATGACTGAGAATTTCGCCAACATGATGCACGAATCCAACTTGTTCTCTACACATGTAGATTCTAATACTCAAATATCACTTTGATAACAACACATTTAACATCTTGTACCGCATAGCATAGAACTCATTTGTATTGTTTTTATGTTAGATAACATGAACCCAGGCATTGCTGTGAGTATGCAGCCTGCAGTGACTTAGTGAAAGCAGTGGTGGAAGATTACTTCTTCTTTTACTTAAGGTAAGGTAAGATAAGGTAAGGTAAAACTTTAATGTTCCCGTAGGGTAATTTGGTTTTCAGCCAGTAAAGGGAGACATAACAATACAATATGACAATACAGCTCACATACAGAACACCAAGACCACACACAGGACAAAAAACAACAACATGACCTGGCATCAATGACCATTAAGGGCAACTATTGCAGATGGGAGAAAGGATTATCTGTACCTATTAGTACAGCATTTTGGAAGGATAAACCTCCACCCTGAAGGAAGCATCTGAAACTCAGCATGTAAAGGATGCAGAGGGTCGGACACGATGGACTGAGCCCTTGACATGAGCCTCTCCTCATAAAGCTGTGTAAGATTTAAGTAAAAGTATTAATACCGTAGTGTGAAAACACTCTGCTACAAGTGAAAATCCTACACTCAAAATTGTAGCATATAAATATTATCTTCACCAGAAGTAAAATACTCATGAGGATGAAGCATTTTGGAATAATGAACATATCACTAGATTAGAATTATTGATGTACATTGTTTTAAGTTCCAGCTAGTATAGGGCTAATTGTAATTACTTCATATACTGCTGAGTACCTTGTGAATTTCCATTTTAAAAATCAGTCAAATCTTTTCTCAGTCTATAATAATACATTAAGCCTATGTTTTATTTGTTAATTATATTTTGTATGAATAATCTGAATCTTTGAAGAATCATTTAACTAAAATAGAAATACTCGTGTGAAAGGCAAGTATTTGAAAACTGTGCTTCAGTGCAGGACTTCAGTGGATGCACTAAGTCACTTTCCACCACTGAATGACTGTAACTGACAGCTAATGCTGCAGAGCTATCATGACAAAGACAAAGAAGTCATTGTCTAAATTTTTACTACAGAGTATATGCACAATGCACTGTGGTTTCCTGTCAACGACGGCGCAAGATAATGATTCATAACTGTCTGAAATCTCAATTTACGGCTCATTATAAAGGAAACTATAGTGAGTGTGAATTAGTGAATGAGAGAGTGACTCAGTGGTTTTCTACAAACACAGTTCTGAACAGTGTAGGCTTTGAATACTGAATATTAGCTACACTTGTAGTGATGACGTTGAGGTGATTACACCATGAATACCATCTGTGCAGAATTTAAGTAGAGAGTTATGTGACCTTACTCTTTACAGTAAATTCTTTGAAAGGTTGATGATATATGGACGGTTAGAGAAACAAGGACATCATTGTGAGGATTCAAGAAAAGTAGGAATCACATGGATGTCATCAGTTACATGTACCGTTCCAGCCTTGATTTTACCTTACTCTATGATGTGCCTGTCTGTCAAAAAAGGGTCTTTTATAAAGTTTGGAAGGTGGATTTGTAAGAACAAGACAAGAAACTGGAGTCCCATGTCAGTTATTATTGTGGTTATGAGATTGTGGACCTTTGATTGAATTGAATTTGATTGAATTGAATTGAATTGAATTGAAATGAATTGAATTGAAATGAATTGAATTGAATTGAATTGAATTTTGTTTTATTTTATTTTATGTATATTCTTCATTAAAACAAACATAAGTACATTAACAATATATACAAACAGACTGTCTATGCTGGGGGAACATATATACAGAGAAAAAAAACAAATTTAAACAAAAGAAAAAAATAAATAAAAATAAATAAAGAAAAAAGTAATCTAGATCCAGAATACTGTCTCATTAATTCATATGGAATTTATCAAACACATAGTTAGTTTATATTGTCTTTTTATTATTAGGGCCTCTTATTGTAGTGTCATATTGTTGTAGCTCTTGATAGAAAATCCTGAATCTTGAAATCCGGTTTTGAGTCTGCCCACTTCTGCTTGTAAATGTGGAATTTTCCCAATAATAAAATAATTTTTTTACAAAAAAAATAATATATTTTCTACCTCATTACTTTCAAAACACATAAAATTGTCTTTATCCTGTAATTAAATTGTTTGTCCAATTTTCCTTATATAAAGTTGAACATACACCCAAAATGTTCTGGTATACATACTGTGATGAAGCAAATCACAGATTGCTTCTTCTTCTAATTCACAGAAAGTACAAGAATATTTAATATCAAATCTAAATATCTCCAATATCTTTTTTTGCTGGACATATTCGATGCAGGATTTTAAAGGAAACTTCTTTAACATTATTATTAAAGCAGAATTTGCCCTCAACTCGCCAAATTGTCTGCCAATTAATTTCACTATAAAGCAAAGCCAAAGAGTTATCTTACTGGGAATGAATGGGTCCCTTTGTATTTGTATTTCCTGTTGGAATGTTTTGCAGTGTATGTGAATGACATCAGCTGACCAAGGAAAAGATAAAAGTACATATATATAATAAATATATATATTGATATATAAAATATATTTTCCTAGCAGTTGACAAGAAGTAAATCGTGGACTCAAGCGTCAGTGAAATGGTCTATTAGAGCTACATTTTATTTCCCCACATCCCAAATTGAATTGTGTCCTTCCTTGAGGGAACCTTCCTTGCTTTAATGTCACCCACCACGGACTGGACTCCCTCGGCTTCCGTAGGTGTGTGAGTGGTTGGAGCGTGACGCAGAAGCGCTGAACGGGCAGAACACTTCTACTGTCAAGATGGCGACATCCGAGCCGGTAAGAGAGACAAGAGATAGCTCAAAAATCGACCAATATTCACGGAGAGACTCGCTACATGTTCACTATACCAGTCGACTTTGTTCTATAATCTCACTTCCTTGAAACGGCACCAACTATTTTGGTGAAATGGCTGTGTTTCGGCCCACAGATGTGTCACTTCGCGTGGAACACTGTTAGCCGTTAGCATGTGATGGATAAGGCAGTGCCTGACTTTGTTGGCAGGGAGGGACTCTGACTGGACGTCGTTCATTCAAACTACAATCAATGATTTGTTTTAATCTGCTTCGATATCAGAGTCAATATCATACGGTGATTTTAATCAACCGTCTGTACCTTTAAATGCTCGTGCTGCGATATTATCGATTACATTTTTGACAATCTTGACACGTGTGTATCTAGCTTGTAGCTTTAGCTTAGCACGACTGCTAAAACTAATGCTAGCGATGTTAACTTACCTAACTGTGGCGTTAGCGTATATTTTACTCACTGTGAATTTCCTACCAACCTTATGCTAGCTGTTTTCAGTGAGCTGTTACATATAATTGTTAAAATAATGATGTCGTATAGCAGGACAGTGCTCTCAAATAATTAGGTTTATAGCCTGTATTAAAAGATAACGCTTACATTTGGATAGTGTGACCGTGTATGTGAGTGTTTTATAAGATATTTAGCTGTGTGTGTGATAGCTATTCCGTGGTGAAAATCAAAAACTAAAATGGATGCGATGGCCATCAGGTAGATGGTTTTGGTAATGTTGAAGAAAGTAAAAATGAGTTTTCAGAATTAACCTTTTTTACATTTAATACCTGGAATTGAGAAGGCAATTGCAAATGAAAAGGCATTTGCCCAGCTGGACTCGTCACACAAGTTTATGAAATCGTTTTTAGATAAGGAGAATACATTATTTAAGTTGCATTGTAACGCAACAGAGAGCAAAACTCCACATCTAGCCTCATGTCAAAAGATTAGTAACATATTAGTTCATCTCTGACCTCAGCTTTGCATAAAACCTGCACAATCTCTGGATACTTAAACGAGACTGACATAATTTGAATGAATGTCTTCTATCTCCAAATATAGTATATGATGTGTTTGTGTCTCTCTCTGCAGAAAGCACCTGAAACTGAAGAACAACAACCTGACAGCCAAGTTGTTGCGAATCCTGAGCAGTATATCAAGCACCCCTTGCAAAACAGGTGAGAATAAAACAGCTGCTGTTTTGTTTGACAGGATATTGCAACCGAGAGGTGCTCGTGCCCACACACACTGCAGTAATCTGATACTAGTGGAGATTTAGACAACACCAATTTCAATACTGTTCTTGTTGTGTAAACAGTATGTTTTAATCTTCTAAGCTTTCACATTGATGAAGAAAATTTTTATGGCATTTTGCAACAAAGACTGTAATCTATACTTGGTCATGTGGTATATGGCTGTTAAAAAGGACAAGAATATATCACAAGTGCAGCATGATAGAAATAATGGGACTGAGAATTAGTACGAGAGGGAAATAAATGATGTAACACAGCGGTTTAAAACAGGCTACATTCTTAAAGGTGTGTAGAATAAGGTCAATAGTCTAGTTCTGGCAGAACATGATAACCATTATTTTACATTTGGAAAATTAAATAGAGGTTGCATACCTTCTATTTTGCACTGAAAAGAATATTTCATCTTCATCTTGTTTGGGAGAAGGTCATTTACTGATTCTGCAAACCATGAATGTTCCACTGCAGTACAATTGTAACTTGTAATTGTAAATGCTGGTTTTGATACATAGTCAAATAACTTCTCTTTAATGATCCTGAGGATGTGTGTTGATTGTATTAACATGTTTTTAAACAATTAGATTTTTAGGAAAATTATTTGGAGCCCCTATAAAGCCTAAAAAATTAGCTTTGTAGCATCTGGTGAATATTTTTGTTGAATTTGTATTTTGTTGAAGATGCCATAGAAAAGAAAAGAGTCACAGGAAAATCATGATGGTAAATGATTTACAGGTAAATGATAACATATGGGCTGTTTTTAGGTTTACAGAAGCAAAGAATAAAGAATTCTGCTTCCTACTCTCTGCTGCAATTGTTTTCCACTATTGTCCTTTTAGAAATGTTATCATAGTTCTGCGGTGGTGACGAGCTATTCAGGAGCATTGTCCAGTCAGTTTAGGAAATGCTGAATAGTTCACCTAGTAAGTCACTTCTAGTTCATTCTGCTTGTTCAGCCCAGCCTCAGAGGTCAAGGTAATGCACATCTGCTGCTCTAGCCTGCACCACATTAACCTAGGTGCTCAGATATTTGATTTAAACATGCTTTGGTTGGGTTATTGTTAGTGTGATGCCTCCACTGTAGCACCAGTAATGGTGGATGCCACAGCTAGAGAGGGCTCGTTGTCATTGTTGCTGTCTTGCCTCACATTTGTTCTCCATTATAAGGAAGTCCTAGCTTGTGGAATTAATTAGAATTTTGTAAGACTGGTGTATTGTGAAATATTATTTACAAATATACACCCAGTGTATTTGGTACACTTTACTAAAATTCTCTAATGCAGTCCTGCACTAAACCCTGTATTATAGATGTGTTACTGTTATTTAGCTCACCCTCATTGATACAAATGGGGTAGACCAATTGATAGAATAGCAGTCAGTATAACGCAATACACTTCAACAGCACCACAAACTACATCCTCCAAAAGTACCATACAGCTGAGTCAACATCTCTCCAAAACAGCTTCAACTAAAACTGAACATTATAAAAGTAATTAAGGTGGAAAGTATTGCAGGACTGTTGCATTACACTGCATAAGTTTTATCTAGGTGTACCTAATAAACTGGCAACTGACTGCATGTTGTAACATATCTATTGTAAAACTTTTTTTCCTCAGTGCAAGAACAAGTATGTATCTGCTATAAAAAGAGAAACCAGTCAGTGAAGTCAAACCAGCATAGATGCAGGCTTTTTCAGATGTCTGGACAAGTGAAGTGACTGACCACACTGGTCCCTTTAAAAATATTTAACAGTCCACTAGTAGAGACCCGATACTTACTTGAGATTGGAAAGGCAACAGTATTAATATCATATCTACTTTTATTTTTGTCAAGAGTTGTAAAGGTGAAACTACATATGGACTTGAACAGGCTGCACGTCTCTGTTACCTAGCTGTAACATAAGTAGGCATGATGATGACTTTCAGGTTTCAAGTCATGCAATGTGATTTTCATACGGTACTAAAATAACGGGAAAGCAACAGTTGCCGGAAGAAAACCTACAGCACACTGTGGAAAATATTCTGCATTAATATACAGTCTAATAAATGGGCTAAAAATGTTAGCCCAAAAAAAAAATGTTAATGTAAAAATGTTTTTTCTGCTGTGATTGTATTTCCAGTCAAGGCTGTTCCTCTCTTTAGAGATATCAATGGATGAAATATTTGTAGTCCTTTAGAAGGGAATGCCAAGATCCTCTGGTGTCTGAAAAACTGGCCCTATAAGTCCCTATGGCACTGAATTTTAAGGCCAGCACTGATGTCAATATTTTGGAATGTAAAAGAATTCAGTAATGATATATTGGCTAAACTAAAATGTCACTGAGAGAATGCAGACCTCCACAAGGCCAAATGCCTTATTTCACAATGTTAACAAAAGTGAAAAAGAATTTTTATCTGCCTTGTGATTCAGAGCCACCCCAAAGTTTAATGAGTTTTCCTTTAGCCAATGCTGCACCCTTTCATCAAGTTTTATTAAAAATAATCTCGTCAGTAGTTTTTCTGTAATCCCGCTAACAAACAAAACTGGAAAAAAAAAACTAACCAACCAAACTGACCTGAAAACATGACCTTGTTGGCAGAGGTAACAAACTATCTTGAGACAGAACGCTTTACTTTTTTTTGTTGCCGATTGAGTTACACATGGAGCTAGACATTTTGCAGTTAAAAAACACTTTCTATTTCTGTGACACTATTTCTAAATTACCTCAAACCTAGTTTGGCATTTCTGTACTGCCGGTTTTTGCTAATAGCTGACACACACCCCTATACGTTTATCGGCAATAACAAGGCTCAACAATAAAGTTTGCCCTGTTGCCTGGGGTAAGTAAAACACCTATTGGGGCTAGTGAATCTAGCAACTTGCTTGCCTGATTGGGCAAGTGGTAAAAAACAAAAAAAAGAATTCTGAAGATTGTTTATCTAGAGCTGATGATGGAAGTAGCTAGGAAGAGAGACATCTGGTTTTCTTCTCGTGCACATGCACAGTACCTTTCAGGGACTCAGGAGAAAATGGCGACGGTTAAAGTTTATGAACTGAAGCACAGGCAAGCATAAAAATTATCCTGGAGTTTAGATGGGCACCTTTTGAGGTTGTGGACAAAATAAAGATTAAACGTGACAGTAAACTTTAGTCTTTGTTGTCAGGCGATAATTGCTAATAAATAAAACAAAAAATTGACTTTGGGTAAGTATATTTCTGACCTTGTCCAACCAGGCAAGAAAAACCTAAATCAGCTGATATATGCTGCTATATCAGCAGCATAACAATAATTTAAATAGATCAAGATATTGTATTTGGGTTTTGTTTTGTTTTTTCAGTGTGTTCTCATACCATTTCTCATTGATTAAATGTTGCCACACAGTAACTGCTTTTCTGAACCACTCTGTTGATTCTTGTTTGGTCTCCATCCTTCATTTCAAAACAAGAGCCTGCACTTTGCCAAGATAGCTACACCTGTGTTTGGCAACACAGTCTACCGCCCACGCCTGAGGAAACCGCTTTACTGGATTGAGATTTTAAAGTCTTTTTAATTGGTCCGTGCCGTATTAGTCGTATTAGACAAATTTTAGTGACACACAAGGAGCAGGGCCCTCGATAATCCATCACTGCCTTGACCTACTGTCTGCCATGTTTGTGTACATGCCACAACTAGGCAGGTAAACAAACAGTGACCTCAGCTGGGTTCATCAGAGGAGTCTCGCCTGGGCGGTGTCTCGTCTCTCTGCTGCTGTTGTGTAATAATATGTGTCAGTGGAGTTGCTACATGGTATGAATATAGTGTAATGCTCTGGGTTATCTTCGTTATTAACACCTCTGTTTATGGCACATGGGTGGGGTTGATGATTGGTTACTGTTGTGTTGTGGTGGAGGGGGGGCACCGGGTTCGGCTAATGTCCTCTCATTGCCCTCACCCCTCCCCTGCCTGGCCCATCCCTCCTGGGAATAGATGAAAGAATAACAGCGGGCGTCACAAACAAAGGCTGCACTTGTAGTGCTGATGACGGCCGGTGTTCTCTGTTCTTCTGCATCGATATGCACGCTTTTGTAACAAGCTGTTGTGCTCTGTTGTGAAATAGGGTACATGTCTGTATTATTAGGACACTTGTTTCAGGTAATTTTGTTTTTTATACCATAGCACTCACGGTGAATGTCATTTTAGAAGTTTTCTCAGACTAGAGACGGATGGAGACATATTCTTATATTGTTTTGCTTTTCAAAAAAAGAAACTGTCAGTAAAATAAAGAAATGATTCTTATTGTGAAGGGCAGTTCACCCTTGAATCAAAAATACATTTTTCCTCTTACCTGTACTGCTATTTATAATAAGTCTCGGTTGCTTTGGTGTGAGTAGCTGAGTGTTAGAGATATCGACCGTAGAGATGTCTGCGTCCTCTAGAAAATAATGGAATTAGATTGCACTTTCAGATGGGAAGTGTTGTCTTTCTACTGAACTACACCTACAGCCACATCACCGTGCATCTACTGGTAGCTCACCTAGCACCACTGAGCTAGCTAACGTTACAGCTCAGTTGAGGAAGACCCCATTAATGGCTACATTACATTAATGTTTACTGCTCAGAAGCAAAAGTTAAAAAGTTAAGTAGTTTTGATTTTGAGATGAACTGTCCCTTTAGTGCTGCAGAAACTGAGTGTTTTGTTTCTTGTGTTTCCCTCTCTCAGATGGGCCCTGTGGTATTTCAAAAACGACAAGAGCAAAAGCTGGACAGAGAACTTGCGTCTCATTTCCAAGTTTGACACAGTGGAGGACTTTTGGGCGTAAGTATTATTCTACTAATGCTGTAATGTAATTATAATTTTATAGATTCTTAGAGGGATAGGTGGAGAGTTTAGATATATATCCTTTCATTAAATCATTTCTAACTAACTTAGGCAGCCTGAGCATCAAACAATTTGTTGTTTATGCTTACATTTTCTTCTGTTGTCTGTTTCATAAATATTAGCATGCCCCAAGTAAAAGGGGCTTGGTGTGTACCATGGCAGATGAAGCTGCATACTGTCAGTGAAGTCAACATTTTGGAAGACTCTTAACACCATTCTGTGTTTCTTACAGATTATACAACCACATACAGCAACCAAGCAAACTTGGCTTTGGCTGCGATTATTGTTTATTTAAGGTAAGGCCATTTTTAAATAATATCTGTTTTATCCCTTTTACACCATTGGGATGTTTACAACATGTAAAATTAGACTTGTTTGAACAGCAGAGTTTAACTTTTGACAGCTAATTCATAGTAGTGCCACACTTTCAAGAAACCATGAATGAAGTGTTACAGCTTTTTCTCTTTGTGCGTCAGGATGGGATCAAGCCGATGTGGGAGGACGACAGAAACAAGCTGGGGGGTCGATGGCTGATGACTCTCAATAAGCAACAGAGACACAATGACCTGGACCGCTACTGGATGGAGACGGTAAGAGGACTATTTTCGTGGAGCGACTCATAGATGAACCTGCTGTGTAGCTTCCTAACAGCTGAGATTCATGATAAAAAAGAATGGCATGATTCACATGGTGTGTCACGTTGTGTGTATTTTGCAGCTCTTGTGTTTAGTCGGTGAGTCGTTTGATGAGGCAAGTGAAGATGTGTGTGGAGCTGTGGTCAACGTCAGACCCAAAGGTGACAAAATAGCCATCTGGACGAGCAACTGCCAAAACAGGGATGCCATCATGACGATAGGGTAAGTCACCTCGTCAAAGGGATATAATGACACACAGCTGAAAGTGCTGAAATCTTAACATCTAAAAATCTACCTATCTAGTCAGGCATTGATGTTATAGACGTTATTTTAGGGATGCAAATTTGCCTCACTGCTGTGGCAGTGTGAGCTCTGCAACAGGGATGTTAAGAGACCGTCCATCCTGCACACACACACACACAGTGTGTCAGGGCTAACTGTTAGCATCACATGGCAAGAGTTACCTGTTGAGGTTTAATAACAGAGTCGAGCTGTTTTGGTGTCAGTGCTGGTGAGTTTGTTGGGACCGTCTAACGGCTCTGTGTCCACCTCTGTCTCTGGGTCATTAGCTCATTTAGGGGTGCTGTAGTCTTCTCTCAGGAGAAACATCATGGCATTGCTCTTGCAGTGTTGTCCAACTCCAGTCTGGGCAACAGCAGACGCCACTTTCTCGTCATCTCCTCTCGAAGCACCAGTGTATTATTTTTATTATATATTTTTACCCATTATAACTTTTTAATTGGTAGTAATCAGTCAAAATTCGTGTTGTTAGGTAACAGTTAATTATTATTATTTGCATTATTTTGTTCACTAATTTTACTGTATTGTTTATACATTTATTATTTTATCTGTTACAATAATAATGATGGTAACATGGATTTTTATTATTATTTTATACATTTATTTGTCTTTGTTTTGACTTTTTAATCTGATACTGATACATTTAATTGCTCTTGAATCAATTTTACTCCATTTTTATCACTTTTTTTCCTTTTTGTCGTCTTGCATGCATTTGGCTAAAATTGACAAATAGTTTTTGTCTTTTTGTTTTTATGGTGTACACTTGCGGCTTGTCATTTATCTATGAAGCACATTAAACTGCACTAACCCTTAGAAAGGTGCTGTACAAATAGTTTGATCAATGATAGTATAAGTGATGGAAAGTACTATAGCTGACCACTAGATGGAGACATTAAGTCAGCACTAGTCTTCACGCAGTACTCACCTTCTTGTCTCTTTCCACAGGCAAAATTATAAAGAGCGCCTGAACCTCCCCATGAAAGCCATGATCGGCTACCAGTCACATGACGACACATCCAGCAAGAGCGGATCCACCACCAAGAACATGTACTCCGTTTGAAAAACTCCTCCACCCCCATTTCAACTTGCTGTAGATTTAAACAATTACCAAACTGCATCATCACAATAATAATTTTTGAGTTGTCAACTACTGTAGTGTCTTTTCCTTTTTATTGAAAAGAGAATTGTTCATAGCGTGTACAGCTGGAGCGTCCCCCAACACGAGAAACAAAGTGGGGTGATGGTTATATATAGGGAGGAGGCCAGAAAGGAGTATTTGGGCTCAAGATGTCACATGTGAGCTAGAGAACACAAATGATTTCCTTTTTAGAGTTGAAGAGTTCTGTGATTAATACCAGTGACCTCCCCTAGCTTAGCTAAAAAAGCTTTCTTTTCATTAATGGCTTGGAGTTAAAGAAAACAAAACAAAACAATATATTAACTATACAGCCTTGTGTTTTTCTCATGCTGAGTTCTTACTCCTCTCAAAAACTGTTTCTCACCTCACAGGTCAAGACGGTAGGCAACTTATCCTCTCACGGAACAAATTTTAAGGGCAATTTTAACTTGATTTATCCGGAAGTGTTAAGCATGAGTCAGGCTTTCAGACACACCAGCTTGAAGAATCTACAGTATCTTAGAGGTTTGTAAAAGCTGTGGTCACACTCCAAATTATAGGGTTTGGATTTACGGCCACTTATTATTTCAGCCATGCTGGAATTGTGGAATATTGCTTGTAGTACTATTTGAACTTTTTTTTTTTTCCTCTTCCCCTTACATTTATTTATAATGTATGCATTGCAGTTGAATTACTTAGTTGAAAGACAACCATGAAATATGTGTTTTTTCAAATTGTTTTTTTTTTCTCCTTTTTTGTTATTAAGGTCAATAATGTGGACTACTGCATATAGATGACATTTTTTACAGTGTACCATAAAGTAAAGATGCTGACAGAATTAGGTGTGCTTTTCACTGTTTTCTTCCTAACAAAAACTGTAGATAATGTCGCACTCCTCTCTTGGTTAATGCAAAAGGAAAGATGATATTCATTGTGAAATGATTTTGCTCATAATGTATCTTTTATTATCTGTAATTCCAGGATGTATATTACCTTCTTTCAAGTAAAGGTTAAGTGCTTTGCATTAAAACCGGAACTGTGTTGTGTTGTTTTGTGGACATTAATGGTTTCGTAATGTCAAAACTGTAACTTGAATCATGGAAAAATAACACTTGAGCCTGCTAGTTAGCTCTAGCAACCTGCACAAAAAAATATATTAGTGGAGGACACCCGTGGCTTGTAATAAATTCCCATTCAATTTTGAAAAACATTCACATTTTGTAATAAACAGCTAGAATTCATTCATTTTCTGTAATCGCTCATCCTGTTGGGGGTCGCAGGAGGGCTGGAGCCTATCCCAGCTGACACTGGGTGAGAGATGAGGTACCCCCTGGACAGGTCGACAGACTATCACAGGGCTGACACCTAGAGGCAGACAACCATATATGCTCGCATTCACACTTATGGGCAATTTAGTCACCAATTAACCTAACCTGCGTGTGTTTGCAGTGTGGGAGGAAGCTGGATTACCTGGAGAACATGCAAACTCTGACATCAAAAGCAGACCTGAAAGCAGTCATTCATGCTTTTGTTCCCACCAGAGTTGACTACTGCAGTGGTCTTTTGACAAGTCTCCCCAAAAAACGCAATTAAAAAGCTTCAACCTTTTCACAATGCAGCAGCATGAGGTCAGACCACGTCACCCTGATTCGTGCGTCACTGCACTGGCTTCCTGTGAGCCACAGAACTGAATATCAGGCTGTGCTGCTTGTTCACACTCCTGCCAGTCCCTTCAGGTCAAGTAGGAGTGGGCTTTCAGTAGTGCTCAGTGCCAGGGCGGAACTTGATGTGTGTCAGTATAACATTCATTGTCAGTTTCAGTGTCTCATTAAAACCAAGTGTATAGTTTCTATTGAAGGTCCAGTGTGTAGGATTTAGGGGCATCTAACGGCAGAAATTAAATATAATATTCATCATTATGTTTTTGTTTATTATCAGCTGATAATAAGAACTCTTTTTCCGTTGTCTTATTAGGCGCCATTCCTATAACAGGGATTCCACCATGTTGTTCTAAATTAGGCTAGAGCAGATCAACCAAACACTGGATCTAGATACATGCAATCTGCAGCCTCACCGCTAGATGCCACCTATTCTTACACGCTGGACCTTTAAGCTAAGGAGTACAGTGACGCTTGCTGTAGCTTTGACAGAACTAATATTGAACGTTGAGTCAGTATGCTCCATGCTAGCACACATAGAAAATATGCTATACAGCTATTACGATTTTAATACAATGCCACTAGTAGCTCTATAGCTCGTTTGTCAGTCCACAAAAATTTTGCCACCCTTTGGCGACATCGGTTTTTGTCCTAGGAGGCTGAAATTTGGCATGGAGGTCAAGTGTGTGTGTACGAAGGTGTGTGTTTGTTTTCGTACAGAGTTGGGCAGCATGAACACAGCAAAAAGGTGCAAAACTTCCAAATAGATTCACAGTTGTACAAGATTTTGTGAATAGAGGGGTCATGCCAAAGGACAGATGATTAACTGTTTATACAAATGGGGAGTGTGTGTGTGTAAGCATGACTGTGTGGGTGTATTCATGTCTGTTGTCGCAGCTATTGCAAATTTACGCCCTCTTGAATGAAGACATCCATTTTGGTAGTTACATAATATATGTGTTTTTACTGCAATATGTAATAAATTACTACTATTGATTTAAAGGTGAATTATATTTAGAAATCCTCCCTCTACTGTAACATACATGTAAGACACCACACCCAAAAACTCTGTAACCTGTCGAGGTGTTGACGTCCTTCTTTTTCATACATGCTGTAACTGAATTCACTATTTTTAATGCCCGTCACTTAGTCATCCAGTCGAACAGGATCTTGTGACGTCATGGAGTCTTGTCTAACTGGGAGCACTGCAGCGTCCTCCACCCTTCTGATAGAGCCTCAGAGTAAAATCAGTGTATCAGCAGAACAACAGGACTTCTCAGTGAGTACAGTGGTCATGATTTTATTGAAGTGCCAAAGCTACAATGCCTGTGCTAAGATCCATTAAAGGACCGTAATGCGACTCTAACATCAGTGATACTGTCATGACTTTTCGGTCCTTATTAGTGTACCTAACGAGGAATTCATCATTGTTTACTATTTCAACATCTGATAAAAAGTAATTGCACAAAGAACACTGATTTACATAAATAAGGTGTTTTAGAAAGTGACTTATCAGGTTAATTGATCTGGTGGCAGGCGACTGATATGTTTTGTTCATTTGCTTTACAATCTAGTTTGTTTCAATAAATAAGTAATAAGAAATAAGGTAAGGTGTAAGGAACAGAAACGCACAGTTAAGGAAATTAATTTTAGGCAACATTATCAAGAGGGTGGGAAAACAAGTGGTCATAATCCATAAACGGCTTTAAATCTATCCCAGTAGTGGTGTCAAAAGTTATTGGTCCTCCAGCCATGGTCCAGCCACAGATGTCTTACTCAGTCCATCCTCACTGCTTGTGTGCTCCTGCTGGACCCTGGCAGCCTCATATCAGGACATTGTTATCATCAAAGGCTTTTCCTCCTCTCGTTCGTTCAACAGATTTGAGAGCATGTAAGACGAGAAGAACCAAAACTCCACGGCGAAGCTGAGCTCAAACAGCTCCAGGTTGACGGAGAGCATCCACTCAAATATAGCCGACAAGTGAAAGTAATAGTACTCAGCCTGGGCAAATAAGACAACATCTGAAAGGTTAAAGTTAAGGATGTATAGAGCAGTGAGTGGCAGTCTTGTAAGATTATTATCTATTATTCTCACCTATATTCTGACAGAGGACAGTGTAGAAAAAAGATCCCAAGGCCAGAATCAAACCCCCAAACTTGAACGTGTGTATCACCAACTAGTGTCAACACGTCTTTGAGCTTAAACCCTAAACTGCTTCAGTAGAGGACTCATGTTGTGTCACTCTACAGCCTTCAGACATACATAATGTGAAGCTGATTGTTGCAGAAACAGTGGTTAAGACTGATGCAGCTAAAAATGTCATTAATGCATTTCTACTTCTGTCATGTTGTGGCCTCTCCCACTTTGTAAACAGAGCAGCAGACCGGATCCAAATATGGCACAAAGGAAACATGGTGCTCCAGAGCAGCTGGAGAGTGTAACTTAGGCGTCACTGCGTAAGTGAACTGCTGAAATATCCTGTTTCAAGTGACACTATAGGAACCCTACCATGTTTGCTAACATCAAGCCTGCTTTTACCAGCCACACCTATGGTCATAGGCTTTGCTGAATACTCACCCCACAAACAGACAGTCAATTCAGCCCAAGATTTATGAAAGGATACGGCAGATGGTGACGATGGATTGAACTACACAGGAGGTGATGCGCAACGGGTAGAGAACCTTCTCGTATCCTGACAGCACACACTTCTTGGTCAGCGCAGTGAGCAGGACAGAGTAGAAGCAGATGCAAATGAAACTGATGGCAGCTCCGAAGTAGTGAGGGAGTGCTAGGTAACCTGGCTGTGGAGGACAGACAGTAGTTTGTTAACAGATGAATAAACAGCTGGAATCAGGGCAGATGTTGATGTAAACATTTAATAGAAGTGTGTGCCAAACTATTAACTCACTAAAACCCCCTCTTGCAGCTCGGGGTGCAACTAAGTAACTGTGTCACCTGAGAAATGGTCATTTTTAATTGAAGAAACAGAGGCTGAGTGTTTGAGTGGTGAAAAAATCATTATGCAGCAACTTTTTTTTTTTTTTTTTTTTTTTTTGTTAAATAGTAACTGGTTCCCATTCACTACTGTTAAACACACTGGTTTTATGGTCTGGTAATATCAGCATGTTACATTATGCTTGTGTTGCTAATGGGTCTTTCAAACAGTTATTATTATAAGTAGTCAAATAAAAATGGTACAGCTTACTCAAAATCAACCCATCTTATATTTAAGGGCGCATATTAGGCTTTTCCATATTTTCTGTCAAATATAATGTTACAATGTTCATATTAAACAGGGCTTAAGTTTCTAATAATGAGGTAAATGTATGTTACAGTAACCCATGTGAGCAGAAACCTCAGGCCTCAGAGTGTTCTGAATACTACAAATATTACAAAGTTATTTCTAAGGTCATCTGCTCCAGGCACACTACTGCAAGTGTGAACATATCATACACCGATAAGTGTAGCTACATGCTAACATCAGGGAAACATATAAACTTGGTTGCTGATGTTGTTCATTTCTCCCCAGTTTCGGATCATGTTCCCGTTGGAACATGTCCAGTTGTAAAGATTTTGGTTCAGAAGCTTTAATTTGTGATTTTTCATGGTTCATTCATCTTCTGCTTAACGAGTTGGTGGTCGCGGGGGTGGTGGAGCCTATCCCAGCTGATATTGGGTGAGAGGCAGGGTACACCCTGGACAGGTCACCAGACTATCACAGGGCTGACACATAGAGACAGACAACCATTTATGCTCACATTCACACCTGCGGCCAATTTAGAGTCACCAATTAACCTACATGTCTTTGGACTGTAAGAGGAAGCTGGAGTACACACAGAAAACCCACGCTGACACGGGGAGAACATGCAAACTTCGCACAGAAGGGCCCCCCCACTACGGAACCCTCTTGCTGTGAGACAATGCTAACCACTGCAATGCCGTGCTGCCACTTTTATTTTTTCATGGTAATAATTGCCAAAAAAATGAGCACCTGTCTCTTTAAGCCCTCCTCCTACAAAAGCTGAGTTTGCTCTGATTGGTCAGCATTTTCAGGTTTTCTGCTTTTGCGATTTTTCATGGTAATTTCAGTAAAACAGAAAACCCCGCAAACGCTGACCAATCAGAGCAAACTGGGCTTTTGGAGGAAGACTTAAAGAGACAGGTGCATAGGGTAAATACAGGTGCTCCAGCACAGACAGACACAAAATAAAATGCTTTTGAACATTAAAACAGATAAATATGTTCTAGTAAAACCCAGAATACAAATATGAACCTGAAAATGAGCATGATGGATCCTTTCTAAAAACTGTACAGAAGGTGTTTAAGTTTGTGTCAGCTTTGCTTTTGCTTTTAATCATTACAGAGGACATAAAGCAAACAGTTACCCACCTTTGTTTGCTGTTTCAGCACAGGTGCACATCGAAGCTGTTCGGCTTTATTGTTAACATTATATGACGAAGTCCGGTCAGCTTACTGTATTGCAAGGTGAATATCTCTCACATATATTTGTCCTTTGGGAGCAATCTAAAGCTGTTAATTAAACTTGTTCAAATATTGAGCAGGAAGTGCAGTACTTACATTACAGTTTCCAGCTGCAAATGCCCCCAGCGCTGCAACAACACCAAAGACCAGTGCAACCTTGCTCAGCATGGAATGGCATGAGTGTCTCTCCATAATGTGGGCATGGTGGAATATACAGAACAGCAGAACTAAAGAGGAGATCACAGCTGTTAAAACGCTTATCACTGACACCATACATGATGTGTTAGGCAGGTAAACTCACAGAGAAAGGATCCAGCATTGATTGTGGCTGTAAATAGCGAATTTTGTGGCGCACTGGATCCACTTGAGCTGGAATCACACATCACATTCAGTTAATTGTGTCTCACTATTTGATTCCAATGGAAAGGATAAGTAAAACAGGAAATTACATGGGCTGGATTCTCACCTTAAAGTGGGAGCAAAACAACATCCAGTGGTCTGATTTCCATTGCAGCTGCTGTCAACCCCCCTGAAAACAAATGAATGAGCCTATGTCACATCCAAAGGCTGATTGTGAACTATCTACAATAATAATAATATCTACAACTCACCAGTCACTGAGAGAGCACACATGATTGTTGGCACGGGCCAGGGCATATCTGGAAATATAAAACAAAAGAAGAACTATAGTGACACCATTTTAATATTTGGGCTCTATAGCATCCTTGGTTTGACAGGAATTAAGATTCAGACTAGTGGATGGTATTTTGTATTACTGGTGTGTTGTAATACAGCATCAAAAAAAGCATAATGTTCCAGGTTTTCAGAGTAAAGGTAGACCTCCAGTCATAAACAGCACATGCCTGTTGAATGAATAAATTTATGAGGCTTTCTGGGAAGTTAAATGTCCAGTGTGTGGGATTTACTGGCAGAGAGGGAATACAGTATAATGAGTCTGTTTTCTTTAGTGTATAATCACTTGAAAATAAGAGTTGTTGCGTTTTCCTAGAATCCACAGTACAGCCCAGAACAGACAAACCAAACACTGGCTCTAGAAAGAGTCATTCATGTATTTGCGTTTTCACATTTTCGCATCAGCCACTGTAGTTAGAAGCCCATCTGCGATGAGCAGCATCGGAAAAACACTGATTTGTAACATGAAAGTGCTTTATTCAGTGTTTCTACCATTTTAAATCAATGGGTTTGTTTGTTTTAGGGAAGAAGAGTCCTCTGCAGACAATTCGGCTCACAGTGAAAACCTCCTAAAGGTCTGGATCTTAAATTATCAGAGAAGGTGAGCAAACATTAACACATTGTGGTCAGCAGCCGACATGCCAAACAGTGTCAAAGGAACACTGATTTGTGATGTGACACTGCTTTATTCAGTGCTGTAATCACCTGGGGTCTCATTAATAAAACAATGAGTAGGATCCATACTTAAAATGTACGCAGACAAAAGCCAAAAATATTTGACAGTTTCTACCATCAGGCTTCCCCCTAACCATCTTCATCGCCAATTTACCGTGCCCAAAATGCTCGTAAGCATGTGTCAAAGTTTCCTCCCATTAAGGCTGTTTTTAAGGATCACAACTTTTGCGTGGGAAGTGGCGTATGCCTCTTTCAGGCCATGTTTTGTGTGACGCGATGTTTATAAATGAGACCCCTGGTTTGTTTAATTTGGAAAGAAACAGACCACAGTGAATAATCCAGTTCCCTGTACAAACCTCCTGAACGATTACTACTGAAGGAATTCTAACTGGAAGAAGTTTCAGCTGTTTGCAGTCTGCAATCCTCACTGCCAGACACCACTAAATCCCCCTAAATCTTACACACTGAACATTTAAATATATGTTTTCTAACTCTATAAAACCATGGCAGTAAACTACCATTGTTAGAAGAGAGGATGACTAACTTAGCCCACTGTCCTCCAGTGATATTTCATCATTAGCACCAAATGGATCAATAAACCACCACAGATTATTCTGACATAGGAAAGAAAGAATTTGTCTGACAACAGTCCAAAGAATGTGCTCATAAATAACTCCACATGGCAGTGGTTCATGAAGCAGAATGAGGAAAACTCATCACTGCACGCCTACAGAGCTTGAACATTATCGACATGAATAACAAATAGATTTAGAAGAAGTGGACTGACAGGTTTTTCCCCGAACAATTTTGTCTGTTAGTATTTCTCGAAAGTCTGGTGTGCACACCTCTCGACACACAGACAAGCCCATCCACATCTGTCAAGGCTGCTGTTTCATAACATGTGCTCAAGTGTTTTCTCAGACTGCTCTGACGTGGACTTTTAGCAAACAGCACATACAAAGACTGAAGATGTTTCAATAAAACTATGTGAAATGACTGTCTGCCAAATATAATACAATGCTCTATCATCTCTTTTAGTTCAAGGCCAAGTGTTATCAGTATAACCATTGGAATCTTAATGCCCTCCGCCAAGAATATACAGTTCAAATACTAATCTTGATGATTATAAAGTAGTCCAGATATGTTGTTATCAGAAGTGCTAATGAGGAGTTACATTATCATGAAGCAACGGACAAACCGTTTCAAACTATGAACAGATGTATTCACTTAGATGGTTTACAAGTTATAAAACTAATATAAAAGTTCCATTTGCATGACAGCACACAGGCAGAGGCAGTATAAGAGCTGTACTTGTAAAAACAAATGAAGGATCACTAGGGAGTAAAAACAAAAGAGGAAGTGTGAATTTCTGGGAAACTTACACACTCCATGTTCCGATGAAGGACACCAGGGAGAGCGAAATGGGGAAGATAATCCACAGCACCATGTCTGAGTTTTGAAGAAGGGAAGTCACAAATCAGAGCAGGGGTTCTTGAAGCCCAAGTGTCGTAAAAACACTCAATGGTAGACCTCCTCAGGGGTTTGCAGATTCCTCATGGAGTCAGCATCATACCTACAGAGCAAGAAAACAAAGTCCTAACCCTGTATGATGTCAGTGCAGTTCAGGTTCTTCCAGCACAAAGTCACACTGTGTAATGAGTGATAGTCTTCCACTATCCAGAGTACAGTTCTGCTTTTATGGGAGCGTCTCTTTCTTTGCCACTCCTTTGGAGCACCACCTCACCATGACAGACCAAATGTTGGGAAACATGGGTTGGTCTTCTAGATGTTGCCACAATGTTTGTTTTATGTCAAACAGGTTAATGCTACATATCAAATTTTGAGTTGTGTACTCTGTAGAATTTGTTATATATACACTCCAAGGTGTAGTCTCTTTAAACAGAATGTGTGAAGATGTGTGTCCAGACACTGGATGTGACGGTTAAAGGTAAATGTCAGAACAAAACGGCATCTCTGTGTGACAGTGATCATAGGAATGCTTTGTATGTTCAGTGACATGCTTTGTTTTACCTGTCATCCAGTGGTGGATTGAACATCTGATCCAGTAAGTGCAGTTTTGAGGTACTTATACATGAGTATTACTATTTCATACCTCTTTATATCTCTACTACACTACATTTTGGAGGTAAATATTGTATTGTGTGGAATATTTTAAATAAAATAATAAAATAAAATACTGTGCATATGTAAAAATAACAAATAAAGAAATTAATAAGTTAACATAAATGAACATTTCATGTTGAAAAAGGAGTAGGAAGAAGTAAACTGCTTGTCTACTCCTATCCCTGTTCCACTGCATTTATTGGACAGCTTGCTACTTACTTAGCCAATTAAGTTTATTTATGTCTAGCCTACATATGATACAGTAAAATTACAAATGTGGGATCTTATTATAATTGAGTATCATTCAACTGTGGTGCTAAAGTAGGCTGCCACTATGACTGACTGTCTCTGTCTCTTTATTATATTCCATGTCACTCATTCATTCATCTTCTAACCGCTTCATCCTTTTGAGGGTCGCAGGGGGGGGGCTGGAGCCTATCCCAGCTGACATCGGGCGAGAGGCAGGGTACACCCTGGACAGGTCGCCAGACTATCGCAGGGCTGACACATAGAGACAAACAACCATTCACGCTCACATTCACACCTACGGACAATTTAGAGTTATCAATTATGTTTATTATCAATTATCAATTATCAATCTGCATGTCTTTGGACTGTGGGAGGAAGCCGGAGTGCCCCCACGAAGGGCTCCCACGCCCAGGATCGAACCGGCAACCCTCTTGCTGTGAGGCGAGAGTGCTAACCACCACACCACCATACCGCCTCATCCATGTCAAGGTAATCTTAAATGCTATATCGTAGGCAATTGGACTTGCTTTGAGTTTCTTGTACACGTTTCGCCAGTTGCCTATGATATAGCACTTAAAATATATTCTGCTTCTTTTTGATGCTTCCTTATTATACTGCTTCATGTTTTTAGACTGTGTGCTTATTATATTGTTCTTTGTCTTTGTACAGTTTACTTAGGCTATTTCATGTGCTTATATGTTGCTTTGTATTTTTTCCAGATTCCATTGTAACGTTGAAAGTTTTCCCACTGTGGGACGAATAAAGGATTATCTTATCTCATTATAGCACACTTAGGTAAATGATGTGACTATGTGTTCCACCGCTGCAGTAATATCTCATATGCAACAACAAAAAAACAACCTTGGACAATTTGGGGTTTTACATAAGGGAATAAAATGAAGAAGAGCTATTGTTAGTATTCGTAAGGCACTTTATGATCATTTTTTTATGACTGCACAACAATTAACTATTTTACTCTTATTTACTGTTTACTGTCTTTTTACTATTTTTTTGTTCCTTACAACCAATTAATTATCTTGATTGTTTCACTGAGGAAATAAACTAAAGGCATGTCAACATTAGAAACAGGAGTTGTGTTTGTAATTGAGGAGCCAATCATTAAACTGTGGTACTTCAGTAGACCATAATTACTTATGTAAATAATCCATGTTTTACCACTGCTGTAGAACAACCTGGGGAAAGATGAGCCTATGATATAACCTACTAAGAGAACACAATGAAGAAAACATATTGTTCAGTATCCTCAGTGACTGTTTATTACTACACAATAATTAACTTTTAAGTAATCTTAATATTATTACTGAACATTTCCTTTTATCGTTTATTTTTCTTATGTTATTCTCTTATAACCAATATTTATTTTCATTGTTTCACTGAGGAAATAAACCAAAGAAAGGTACATATCAGACATGCATAATCAAACCTCTGGTCAGGACTGTGTGCTGTCTACCACATGACGTCCTCATTTTCAAAACAAAGAAAATGGCGACGCACATGAGATGGGGTCTTCAGCGGTTGTTACGGGCAAGAAGTACTGCTCACTTTAGGTTTGAACCTCTCCTGCTGTGACATATCGCTCAGTTAACGTTTTGTGCTGCTGATATGATAAGCTGTGATGCTGCTGTAAAGCATGAAGTTGATTGTTTGACGCTAGCTAGCTATTTAGCTAGCTAATTAGCTAAGTAGCAAACTGCGATACTAGGTGACAGTTGGTCACTTAATGAATCCTATTCATCCAGAAAAAGGTGGAGGTATCGACACAGCTGGGTTATTTCACGCCAGCTATTCCCACTTCTTTATCGTCTTTGATTTCATATAACGTTACGTCCCTCCAGGTGCCAACTGTGTAACTTATCCGCTAACGCTAGTTAGCTCATGCTAATAACATTTATGTCAGTAAATGTTGCAGCCTCTGGGTAACGTTACCAGTTTGTAGGTTAGTATAACAAAACAAGGTGCTTTGCTAACAATGTGCTGACGTTGCTTTCATCCACCTAACTATTAAACCCTCCCACGAGAAGTGAATTAAAGTAAAGCTCATGTAGACTGACAGATATAAATCAAATACTGTGTGCTTTTCAAGGTTTCCAGTCAAAGCCAGAAGCTTGTACCACTCACACAGCTCTTCCCAGATCTTCCCAAAAGTTCAGCCCCGGCCCGGGACAGGAAACACACACCTCTCAAGTGAGATACTGGACACCTTGACTATTTCTATTGTTCTGTTTGTGCACTATATGTTTGTAGTTGTCTTGTATCTTGTTCTCTTCCTGTTTTTCTACTTTGTTGTTTGCACCTCGTGTTCATTCATTCATTCTTTTGTGTTACACTGAGAACCAGGGAAAGACAACTTCATTATTTTATGCCAGGGGTGTCCAAACTTTTTTTGAATGGGGGTCAGATTAGATGATGTGAAAATACCTGGGGGCCAGCTGCTTAAAAAAAAATCACATTCAAATTAGGGATGCACAATATTGGATTTTTTGACAATATCCGATAAGTCAATATATAACAACTCAGTTGGCCAATACCGATATATATCCACTTTTTTCCCCTGCTAATTTTAATGATCATCAAGTCTCTTCTAGAGATGCACCGATCCAGCTTTTTCAGTTTCAATACAGATCCCGATGCTGTGGCTTTGAGTATCAGCCGATACCCGATACCGATCCGATACCATGGTTGACCTAAAAAGAAAAGACTAGAGGCATCAGGCATTGATGACTACACAGTTCTTTCCTAAGATAAAATGAAACAAGATGAAACAGGTTAATGCAATGATGAACTATTTATTTTTAACAAAAATAAACAATTGAGCAACAGCAGTTGAAATAGTGTGAAATACAGTACAGGCCAAAAGTTTGGACACACCTTCTCATTCAATGCGTTTTCTGTATTTTCATGACTATTTACATTGTAGATTCTCACTGAAGGCATCAAAACTATGAATGAACACATGTGGAGTTATGTACTTAACAAAAAAAGGTGAAATAACTGAAAACATGTTTTATATTCTAGTTTCTTCAAAATAGCCACCCTTTGCTCTGATTACTGCTTTGCACACTCTTGGCATTCTCTCCATGAGCTTCAAGAGGTAGTCACCTGAAATGGTTTTCCAACAGTATTGAAGGAGTTCCCAGAGGTGTTTAGCACTTGTTGGCCCCTTTGCCTTCACTCTGCGGTCCAGCTCACCCCAAACCATCTCGATTGGGTTCAGGTCCGGTGACTGTGGAGGCCAGGTCATCTGCCGCAGTACTCCATCACTCTCCTTCTTGGTCAAATAGCCCTTACACAGCCTGGAGGTGTGTTTGGGGTCATTGTCCTGTTGAAAAATAAATGATCGTCCAACTAAACGCAAACCGGATGGGATGGCATGTCGCTGCAGGATGCTGTGGTAGCCATGCTGGTTCAGTGTGCCTTCAATTTTGAATAAATCCCCAACAGTGTCACCAGCAAAACACCCCCACACCATCACACCTCCTCCTCCATGCTTCACAGTGGGAACCAGGCATGTGGAATCCATCCGTTCACCTTTTCTGCGTCTCACAAAGACACGGCGGTTGGAACCAAAGATCTCAAATTTGGACTCATCAGACCAAAGCACAGATTTCCACTGGTCTAATGTCCATTCCTTGTGTTTCTTGGCCCAAACAAATCTCTTCTGCTTGTTGCCTCTCCTTAGCAGTGGTTTCCTAGCAGCTATTTGACCATGAAGGCCTGATTCGCGCAGTCTCCTCTTAACAGTTGTTCTAGAGATGGGTCTGCTGCTAGAACTCTGTGTGGCATTCATCTGGTCTCTGATCTGAGCTGCTGTTTACTTGCCATTTCTGAGGCTGGTGACTCGGATGAACTTATCCTCAGAAGCAGAGGTGACTCTTGGTCTTCCTTTCCTGGGTCGGTCCTCATGTGTGCCAGTTTCGTTGTAGCGCTTGATGGTTTTTGCGACTCCACTTAGGGACACATTTAAAGTTTTTGCAAATTTCCGGACTGACTGACCTTCATTTCTTAAAGTAATGATGGCCACTCGTTTTTCTTTAGTTAGCTGATTGGTTCTTGCCATAATATGAATTTTAACAGTTGTTCAATAGGGCTGTCGGCTGTGTATTAACCTGACTTCTGCACAACACAACTGATGGTCCCAACCCCATTGATAAAGCAAGAAATTCCACTAATTAACCCTGATAAGGCACACCTGTGAAGTGGAAACCATTTCAGGTGACTACCTCTTGAAGCTCATGGAGAGAATGCCAAGAGTGTGCAAAGCAGTAATCAGAGCAAAGGG